TCCCCTGTATTGGGGATTGAACCCAGGGTTCTTCTGTCCCTGTGCTGCCTCCGAGCCCTATCCAGTCTCTGTCTCTGTCTCTCTCCTTCCCTCCAAATTGTTTCAGGCTGGCCTCAAACACCCAATGATCCACCTGCTTCAGCCTCTAAAGTGCAGAGATTACAGACATGTGCCACTATAAGGTTCTTTTTACTTTAAAAAAAATTTTTTTTTTTTTTTTTACGACAAGGTCTCATTGTATAGTGCAGGCTAGCTTTAAACTTGCTTATGCAGCCTAGTCTGGCCTCGAATTTGTGGCACTCCTGCCTCAGCCTCCAGAGTGCTGGGATTACAGGGGTGCACCATTAAACCCGGCTCTTTTTACTTTGAGACAAGTTGCCCAGGCTGGTCTCAATCTTCCATCCTCCTGCCTCAGCCTCTCCTGAGTACCTGGGTTTACAGGCATGTGCAGCGTTGCTCCCCTGATGAAATTGCAGGGCCTTGTGCATGCAAGGCAAGAGCTCTGCCCCTGAGCCATATCCCCCCCAGTGTTTTTTTTTTAAGTGACTAATTGTACTTAAATAGCGCTTACCATGGGTTAGGCCCTGGACAAATAAAGTCAGGGTCTCTGCCTGCTTACCACTTTTACCACCACTTTCTTTCCTGTGGACTTGTTGGGGCAGCCAGGGAATGTGATACTTCTTATCAGGCTGTTTGTCGGACTTGCCCTAGAGCAAGTAAACAAATTCAAAACATGGAGCCTTCTGGTTGCCTTAGGCTCCCTCCTGTGCCGGCTCTGGCTTTTTCTTATCCTAATTCAGGACTCAAGGACAAATAGGTCACACCGTGGAACCCTTCCAGCCCGATGGGCTGAGACACTTGCTTTCTGGTTATGGAGGAGCCAGCAGCTCCTGGCTTTAAGGACCATGACCTTCAAGACAAGTTATGGGTCAGAAACGTAGATTTCAAAGCCACACTCCAGAGCTACTGAGTTGGAATCCTTGGGGTTGGGCTCCTTCCAGCTCCTTGTGGTGGAGCTCTGGCCACCTCGGCTGGTGGGTGATTGGGGGACAGGTCTGACGAGATTTGGCACTGCTGGGGATTGAACTCGTGGCCTTGAGCGGGCCAGGCCAGGGCCTCTGTGGTGCTGAGCTAATCCTCCACCCAGGCCCAGGTGAGCTCTTGATGTGTGGTCCTCTCGCCTAGTCAGCTCGGAACCTTTGCACGGTGCTTGGTTTTCAATTCAAACTGTTTCTAGGTTAGCTCCTTCATTGAGCTATTCTGCTCAGCAGAGGACCTGAGATCCCACAGGTAAGAGAGGGTTAGGACTAAGCATTAAGTATCTCTGGCTAGGTCTCTCACCCTTTCAGTCCCACTTACCTGAAGAGCCAGATTTCTGAAAGCATGGTAACCGTAGGGGGTAATATTCACGGGAGGGCTGGGTTACCAGTCCTCACCACACCTCTGTGAGCCACCTGTCAAGAACAGAGCCTTAAAACAAACTCACGATGTTGGATTTCTGTGTTCACCAGCTCATGGAGTCACAGGGGCACAAATTTAGGCAAACATGACCCACTTTCTGTTTTATTTTTTTTCTTGTGGAGCTGGAGATTAAACCCAGGGCCTTGTACAAGCTGCACTGCCACTGAGCTGCACTCCTAGGCCCAAGTTCAATTCCAATGTTTTTCTTCAAATCCTTTTTTTTTTTTTTTTTTACCAAGATGGTTTCACTACATAGTAGTTCAGGCTGGCCTTGAACTCACTGTGTAGCCCTGGCAGGCCTTGAATTTGCAGGATCCTCCTGTCTCAGCCTTTTGAGTGCTGGGATTACAGGTGTGCACCACTGTGCCCGGAGTCCCCTCACTCTTGATGCACTGGAAATGCATGTGCACAACTCATTCATTTGTTAGAAAGACTTGCTGGGTGCTCCCAAGCTCTCCAACTCCCTGGATGAAGGAAGACAGCATCTAAGACGTGGACTTCTTGGCTTTTATCATCCTTAGTTACTTCCTTAATGTACTTTGAGTGTACAGATGTGGGGTTTTAAAACTTGCTTGTAATTAAGATATGGTTCATTTTTATTGCTTGAGATAAAATCTGGTCCAAGGGACTCAAATGTAATTTACAAAATAAAAGTGCATGTGGGCAGGCCCTAAGGGAAAAACAAAAAAAAGGATAAAGAGTTTGCCAGGATTCTTGAGTTTACTTAGTCACTTCTTGGAGAATAAAAATCCCAGCCACCTGCATTATTTAAAAAAAAAAAACAAAACAAAACACAAAAACCCACACCTTATAAACATTCTCTTTGAAATACCTGAATGAACTAGATTGAATTATAAACTAATGGCTTGTAAAAATTCACCTTGAGCAAGCTGAGCAAGCTACTGAAGATCTAAATGAAAGAGTCAGGGAGAGACTTAGGAAACCCAACCTGCTGTTTGTTTGTTTTATCTGTAATGTAACTCAAAAGTAGCCAAGCATGGGAGCTCTCCCTGTGTTTGGTTTCCCTGGGCTGAGCTTGTGAATGCCAAGATTTAATCTAAAGAGGTTTGTGTTTTAAAAACTAACAACCAAGTAATAAAACACCTATAAAAGGGTTTTATAATGGAAGCGGTGACAGTTTGGAGTGTAGTATTACACCTCTTCTGCTCCCGTCTCCTTTTCCTATCCTTTCATTCAACTCCGTGCCCTTTGTCTAGGCGCCTTCTCACCTTGCTGCTAAGATGCCGAAGCAGGGGGAGGTCACACCCCAAAGTAGCAGACCATCTTTAAAAAGTGAAGCGTGGATTGTGGTCTGCATCTGAGGACAGGGCTGTCGCTGCTTGCTTTGTCTGTCTGAGATAAGAGCGAAGATAAGTTGCCCTGACAAAGTACCTACCTAGTGGTAGTTGTTCAGTGGTTTCTAAGGCGGAGCTAGGGGGTGCAAGAGGCAACTGGGGTAGGCGGGCCCGGGCTTCCTCCCCCTGGCACCCTGCGCCACCCCACCATCGCCCAAGCCTGCCCAGGCTCCAGGGACAGACTTTGGGCAACAGGTGGTTTTCCAGCCAGGCCACTAGGCCTGAAACTTGGTGCTTTTTTTCAGAGCCATAGTTCTCCTCCCCCTCCCAAAGAAATGGCGCCTGGGAAGGAAAACTTCTATCCCAAACTCTGGGAGCCATTTCTCCAGCATACCTTTCCCATATTCTCAAGTGTCCTCCCTCAGCATCCCACCCACGCGGGAGGAGCCAGGGCCACTCGAGCCTGGAGGGAACTAGGAGGCCGCAGCGTGGCCCGGTCTGGGCGGCCAGCGGATCCCCCAGCCTCCCTCCTGTGGGCCTCAGGAACTCGGGGGGCCCAGGGGAAGCCTGGAAAACCGAACTTCGCCATCAGCCTTCCTCACATTGCTGGTTAGAGCAGAGGGGGGAAGGGCCCCCCAGCCATCTCCCCCTCCTCCAGCCCCTCTGCCATCCAGCTGCACAGCCCACGAAACACCCAGAGCGCGGCTCCGAGCTCGCCAGCCCCTGGCAGGCCGGGAGAGGGCATCTGGAGGGGCAGCTCCTCGCCAGCCCGCGCCTGACATCCGCACTCCCACCCAGGATGCTGCCGCCGTGCCCTGTCCGCAGTCGCTGAATGTCACTGCCCCCTCTTGCTCCCGATCAGGGCAGACACAGCTCCCGAAGCGTCCCCAACCACAAAACTGCCGCGATCGCCCGAGGGCACCAGGCCCGGGTGAAGGACGAAGTTTAGGGCCCACGGCTGCGGGAGGGGGGCGCGCTGGCGAGGACCGCACCTCGGTCCCGGCCCCTGCGGGCACACTCCCCGCCCCAGACGTCCCAGACGTCCCCATCCTCCCGCGGACACCGGCGTCCCCGCCCTCCCCCGAGGGCGGCGAGCGG